TTTTATCCTGCTGTTAATGCTCTGTTCTCTTCTACTACTCCCCCAAGTGCTTCCTGTTCCTACTTCCCTTTGTATCTGATATAAATGTCTTCCTTTGGTGTTACTTTCCCATAGTTTTTGCCATTGTTGCTTGATAACCACTTTTGTAAAAGATTTGACTTCTGCTCTACTGATGGGTACCATAATATCAATCTGGTTTGCTTTCAAACCACATTTTGCCAGTTGATCCACTACTTCATTCTCTCTAATACCCACATGCGCTGGAACCCACACAAATTGAACAACAATTCCCAGATGAACTAACCTAAACATGCTTTGTAAAATGTCATGTAAAATATCCTGACGACATTTTGAAGAGAAGTTGTTTATACTCTCCAGAGCTGCACTGGAGCTCAGCGCTCATTACGTTACCAAAAGGTTTATAATCTAGTACTGCCACTGGGCTCAAAAATGCTGATTGAAGAATGAGACAGCACTTTGTTGTTGAAGTATGTGGGTAAGAAGCATTTATTTGACAGCTAACATGTGTGGCTCATAAGATGTTCAACATATCAGACCGTTTTTTTCTGAACTGCACTGCAGACATCATAAAAACATATAAGAGTTAACAAAATGTTAAAAAAGTTTCACCAAAATCACAGAAAGAGCATCCATCTCTAGACTTGTTTATAATGAAATATCTTGAAGAGATGGAATATCCACTTGCTACTGTATTTCATATTTATTACAATTACTTGATATTTGATCATATCCGTTGGATAAATATCACGACATTAGAAATTCAACAGTACATATTTTGAGTGCTAAAAAATTGAGAAAAAAGGAAATCTGTAGAAAGTATAAAATATATTTTTGGATTACCTGATTGCTTTACAAAAAAGCATTATTGTGATTGCCATTCTGTGAAAATATAGAATTGTTTCGAAGTCTATGAGACGAAGAATAAGATACACACTGACTAAAAATAACATTTTAAACTTACAGTTAATACAATATTCAACATTAGAATAAGAAATACATATGGAAATATTGGACTCTGCCAGCTGGACTCTGCTAATGAAAGGTCAGTTCGGGACGGACCCCCCTCCCCCCTCCACACCAGCAGAGGGAGCCAAAGCTGTTTTAATAAAAGTCACAAAGATCTTCCTGATAGCTTCCTGGTTCTGCTGCATAGCATTGATAGCATTCCATAAGGCATAAGCTTTTCAGCATATAAACCTACAGCCCTTTAAGCTAACCAGTTTCAGTCAGGTTAGCAAACGATGGAGGGGGGAGGGGGTACTTGGATGATGTCACATTGGCAGCACATTACAGGGGGCAGCCATGCATAATGATCATTGAGCAGTGAACTGTGACTGTAATTCTGCTCTGTGTTTCTGTGTGAACTTGCAGATGGCGAGTGGACAGCTGTCCAGGGCTGGGGCGTTGTCGTGCTCAGGCTGCAGGCATGCGTGTCACGTGATGCTCTACTGTGACACGAAAACTCAGCTGTTTGGGAGAATTCCAATCAGACATATCATACTGGTGAGGAAAAGCCGCGTGTGTGTGTGTGTGTTTAAAGGGATAGCTTGAAGTGTTGGATCTAGGCTTATATGACACACTTATCCATAGTCAGTGTTCTCTATGTTCTCTTTTTTCCATTTACAAAAAGAGCCATTTTGATTTTCAGGAACACTGGAGTCGCTGGTCTCACCCTGCCTAAATCGGTTCATGTGTCTGTGTTATTGTGTGACTTTGGTGATTTTTATATTAACTTAAAACACTGTTTCCAAAGCTGGAGATCCCAATCCCCACAAGGGGCTTCACGGTGGGGTCGCAAGGGGTGTGAGAAAACGTATACAAAATGAATACAGTTTGCCTTTTTCTCAGTCATTAATTAATATCTGTAAAGAAACCAACATTTTTATATATAACGTTTTTAAAAAACAAACAGAATATTTACTGTAACGTTCAGAAATTGCATGTTTTTCCACGACTAATCAGGGAGGTGTCCGGGGCTCTCATAGAGAACATGACGTAGCCTATACATGTGCCTTCATCAGGTCATATAGTATATCCTATAATGCTGGTGGGTTTGTCTCTTTACTGTATATTTTAGAAAGGCTCACTGTACTTAAAAAGTATGAAAGGCACCCCAGCACGTGCACTCCGCTCTGCATCAGCCAAACAGCTCGCTGCACCCGCACTGCGAGGGGGACCCAAGTTCCCATCAGCAAAAACTTGTGGGTTTGCTATCCTGGCTCCAAAATGGTGGAATGAGCTCCCCATTGAAATCAGGACAGCAGAAAGCTTACACATCTTCCGGCGCAGACTGAAAACTCATCTCTTTAGACTCCACTTCGAGCGATTGAATCACTAACAAAGCACTTATATACTAATAAAGGTCTGGCTTATCTAAAGCCAGTTGAGTAGCACTTGAAATGTTTGGCTCTATGAAACCTGATGTACTTATATGATTCTGTTTTCTTCAAGGTTGTATCTTCCTAGTCGAATGCACTTATTGTAAGTCGCTTTGGATAAAAGCGTCAGCTAAATGCAATGTAATGGATATGGCTAAAGCCTGACTCCTACTGGCGGCTGGTTAAATGACTCCTCGTCCCTGAGTACACTCATGCATCTTTCAGCAGGCAAGGAGAGAGGGAATCAATGGAGCTGCCTGGGAGGACACAGGGGAATCATACAACAAATATGCGTACCTAGATGCGTCATGAGGTGCCGGTACGCAGTAAGAAGTAACAGTACACAGATGGGTAAAAATCAGTAGTCCCGGTACTGCGTACCGGTGAGTACCGGCCAAATTCAAGCATTGGGTATAGACTTAGAAGCCTTACTTCTGGTAAACAGACTTGTCTTGCTTTAGAAAGTACGCAGCTAAGACAACCAAAAGGGCACAAAAAAGGTTAATTGTTAGGGAAAAGAAAAAAACATGAAATATCCATAAAATATGTCACTTTGTCAGGGGTGGTCAGTTTATACAAGAATTGACATGGGGTAAAAACCAAATATCCAGAAAAGATTAATGTAGCATTAGAATAGCAACTCCTTTGTTCTGCAACATTAAATAGCAGTTTGTGTTAATAGAGTCTGGTGCAAGGTGGACCAATAAAATAAATAGTATTCATATAACATACATAATCCGATAATGACATTTTTTAGGTGGCTGAGAAATGTTTTATTGCTGCCCCCCTTTACAGCAGTACACCGCTTAGCTCCCTGCTTGTACTCCTGCGTGTTTCTCCAAACCAGGGTGTTTTTGACAAAGCACCTCTGCCTCTCTTTGTGTATGCATCAGTGTGTGAGTGTATAACAGCCTCTGTCACTTCCCACTGCAGATGCAGATGCGCTTTGACGGTCTGCTGGGTTTCCCTGGGGGGTGAGTCTTTCCTGGTGCTGCTTTTGTTTCATCCTTTTATGTGCACACACAGGTATGTTTAGCTTAGCTTTGTAGATCTCTTGTTTGCTTCACAGATCAAAAGATGTAAACTTGAACAAACATGCACTCACTGTGTCTGGAATACTCCAATGAACAAAAGATGAGAAAATATGCATGACACTGTCTTCTGCAAGGTGCTTGATCTTGCCATATAAAGAACAAAAACAACTGCAACTGCCAGACAGGTTCTGCTTAATTCATCTTTATATGAATCACTTGTGCTTTTGTGTCTGTGAATTCACAGTAGTCACTGCCAACATTTCTCAGGCACGATTCGCCAACACAGTGAAATTATGTAACAAGACGTGAAGAAATGTCTGAGAAATTATGAAGAAATATGCAAAATCAATGAAGAAGGGTCAGAAACAGCACCGTCCCATTCTTACACAATACATACACAGTGTCTTACTTTTTAATTCTATTATTATACTGTGTTTGCACCAAGTATAACAAATCTACATTGTTAGTTGTTTACCTCAAACAGTGTCAGCTGTGGGGGTTTAGTGGTAATAAGCATGAATATTAGCATGCAGAACTAGAATGGTGTTTAACATGAATACGTTTTTTGCTTGAACGTGGTAGCGTCTTGATAGTAACCGTTGACCAATCACAACAGAACCAGCCAGATAACCAATCAGGGCAGACTGGGCTCTGGTTTCAGACAGAGGGTGAAAAAAGGTGCTGCAGAACAGGCAGTATGAGGAAAGTAAAGAGCTTTTTAAGCATTAAAGCATGGAGACATGTCACAGTAGAGCCACAACATACTGATATGAACCTGAATATGAACATGTTAGGGCCCCTTTAATTAGACTTCCTTGTAACTTAAAGAAGCACTTGTGTTTGGGGTTTTAAAATTAAATTATCTTTTCAATCAGCTTGATTTATTTACTCCTGCACCGAGGAGTCTCTGGAGAGCAATACAGATGACATTGTTTATTGACTTTCTAATCTCATCCTGACCCTTGACCCCATGTCCCACACCTCAGGTATGTTAACCCTTCAGAGGAGACCCTGGAGGCGGGGCTTAGCAGGGAGTTGTTGGAAGAGCTGGGCGTTGCTCTTCCTATATCGGCAGAAGATCATGTGGACTGCTGCCATGCCCCTGCTTCCTCCTCCTCCTCCACCTCCCGTCTTATAACCCACTTCTATGTGAAGAAGATGGAGGAGGAGCAGATAAAGGAGGTGGAGAAAGAGGCTGCATCCACTGCAACAGATCATGGACAGGAGGTATGTGTCCTTTTCCTTCCAGTGGGACTAAGCCATTTACCTCATGATCTGTTCCTCACCAACGCTGTCTCTGTCCAGGTTCTGGGAATGGTCAGGGTCCCTCTCTACAACACGAAAAACGGGGGGGGCCTCGCGCCTTTCTTGTCACACTCATTCATCGGCAACGCTCGCTCGCAGCTGGTGGACTCTCTGCTGCGCCTCGACATGTTCGCCCCTGAGGAGCTGCACAAAGCCCTCGCGCATTCTCTAAAGATACACACACACACCGCTGAGGACCTGCAGGCGGCCCTAACGCGAACAGAGGCGAAGAGGAATTGGTTCTGAAACACGCCTGTACCAGCACTTCCTCTCCAGAACACACAGAGATACAATGTGGCCTTCAGCGACACAATTCTTGACTCACACCAATCCTAATCACACACACACACACACACACACACACACACACACACACACACACACACACATAGTGTCATGCTGATTCTGAGCCGGTGACTCATAATTGCCTCTTGCATCAAACAGTTTGGAGAAAACGTTATCATCTG